GAGTACCCCCCCCCCCCCCCCCCCGGGCGGAATGAGGTTAATTTACTTATGTAACTGGTATAAGACTAAACACCGCGAGTTCCCATGAGGTTAGTTTATAATTAACCCAAGCCAATGGAACCGAATATGTTGTGATTTGACAACCCCGAGAGCTGCTTTTGGAATCGGAAGAGCATGTGTTTTCTTTACTATTGTGATGCCTCTGAACTCAGTTAACGCTCGGACGCACAAGTTAACTCATACCCCCACCGTGGGACAAGAGTAGAAAGGGTGGATGGAACCCCCCTCTTGGTGTTCGTTCTGTTAAGGAAGAGCAAAACAAATTTACACTGATTAGATAGCCCTGAGCTTGCTCTACAAGATGGCACCATTTTTGTTGGTTATGACGCCATATGACGTAAAATGACGTCATTTGACCCGCCATCTTGGATTCACCATCTTGGATTTTCCTATTTTCTTAAAAAGTCAAGAAATAATGGAAATTAGCACAAAATCAAGCCACAATGCTTACAAAATGTGCAAATGCATGAATTTCTGCAATTTGAGAGAGAGAAAAACTACAAAATTATCTCAAAAACGTTGATTTTTGGCTGGACCTACATGAAATTTGATGGTTGCCATGGCAACATCAAATATGATGGACACGCAAATGACATATCAAAATTTCTGCAGAGAATGTAGGAAAAGCTACTGAAAGTTTCAGCCCCTTAGAGTAAATCGTCTCTTCAAAACTTGAAAAACCCATATGGGGTGTGGCATTTACACCCCCCCCCCCTTCCCCTTGTACGCCCGAGGGCTAACAACAGCAGCAACTTGAAAGTGAAATGAAACGTGCGTTGTAACTATTTAGCACCCTTTTAAGTCTCTAAATGGAGTATCCTGGCTGTTTAACTTGCTCTCCCCCCCTAACCCTAGCCCCCCCCTCCCCCGTGTAAGACGGCTTTCTCGAGATCCCGCCAAAAATATTATAAAGATGCCACAAACGAATCGCAGGCCTCCTACAAAGACAACAAAAGAAAAACAACAACAATGGTATACTCCGTACTTAAAGACGTTTTTGTTTTCGCGTTTAAAGGTCACGTACGTTTTCTTCGTTCCTTGTATTAAGCAAGCCCCCTTATACGACTATTTTCCCAGAAATACCTGAGGACCTTGCAACGTAATGCGTTTGCTTTTTGATATGTTTTATGTCTTTTCCCGAACAGATAATGTGACCCCCCTCCCACCCCTCAAGGTAATGTGCAGTAGATTAGATAGTTAATACTTATATTGATTACTGAAGAATTGAAATCTTGGCGTGCTTCCGTGGCAATGACATTAACTTGCCGTTAATTGCCTTCTGGAACTTTTGGAGGGTCTCATTAATGATAAAGATTACTTTAGGCGTATTGACTTAATTTAAAAACAAAATTTGGTTAAAAGCGGACACGGGATTTGTTAAGCTTATATTTGACGCTCGTAGGTTAAATTGCATATTGTGTTTACAAAGTATGGAGATTTCCTCGTTTTGTTTGTTCAATTTAGTCGGTTTGGTGAAATGCTTGGGTGAATTTTTTTAAAGTTATTGGTAAAAGACTGGTAAAGCTACGGCCGATAATGACTGCAAAGCCATCATCGGCAAAAATGATATTCAAATCTACGCTTTAGCGTGAATAATTGTTAAATTTTAACACCACAATCAAGTCTTCATTTCGTGGCTTTACTTTGAATAATAATCAAATTAAACGAATTTTCTTTACTTATTTTTCATTCGGCCATCTTTCGTTGAGACGGTATTTGCTGTCTGATACTCAGATGTTGTGATATGCATACACTCTTTTTTTTTTTTTTTTTTCTTTTTCCTGTAAAAATGTTGTTTTTCCGGCCGAGGCTGAATATTCTTATTTTTCTGCGGATTCTAGGCTGAAAGTATTCTCAATTATGATTATATAGCGTATGACATATCTTTTTTCGAATGTATTTTGGTGTCTCGATCGTGTTGAACTAATTTTGGAGCCAGCCCGCAGACATTTAAGTCTGATATAACGCGCATAACCTCCTGCAGAAATGTTATTAACATCGAATGTACGGCTAGTGCTGTTTTTGTTGCTTTTTAGCCAGTTATGCCATTTGAGTATCGTTACACAGGCTATACAACAACTCTCGCCATCATTTACTGAACTGAGACATTTTTTGACTTTTTTTTTCGACTCAGGTTTATTCTTAAAATATTCGCAATTCTTAAAATTTCGCAAATTTCGGCCTCGATATGCTATAAAACATGTTCTTATAAAAAAAATAGAAAGAGTGTATTGTTTTTATCCAGATTTCCTCGTTGTTGTTCATGATCAACTCATTCGGTTCGGTGGAATGTTTAGTTAAAATGTAGAGCAGCTTATGTTACAAGGTACGATTAACAAGTATTGAAAAACTTCAATGCAGTGTAAATAAATATTTAAGTGTTAAAAAAAATGTCTCAATTCAGTAAATGATGGTGAGAGTTATTTTATAGCCTATGTAGCTAGCGGTTTTGTTGAAAATCCATACTCAGCGCTCTCTTGGTTATCGATTTTCATCGATTAATTATTATCGATTACCTTATTACATGAAATTTTCGCAACACGTTAATTTCGCGATTTTGAGGTTCGCATATTTCGCGACACCTTAATTTCGCGATTTTGCGAAAATTTTTCATTTTGACTCACTTTAATTTCGCGTTTTTGAGTGAGACACTTATTTGTTTGTCAATGTTATTTAACATGTCCCTGAATTTGATCAAACAACTTAATCAACAATGTCCAAATAAACAGAAACGCAACTGATTATGTAAACAGTAACAAGAAAGATGTTCTCACAGTGTTTACAAGGCACGGTTTGTAGTTCATACTTGAATTCAAGCCACGTTTTTAGTGGTCAGTTGACCTCATTATCCATCTACATTAAATATTCCTTTCTGCAGACTCCAAAGAGAAAATGTTGCCGTTTAGTTTCACGACTGATGCTCTTTAACTGTTTGCCTAAATGTCTTGAAACGGATCAACAGGCGGTAGCACTTCTTTTCCAGAGGCGACAGTAAGAATAGAGGCATCTACTAAGAACGTTGAAGCAGTTGAAAGGTTTAAGCAACTAGTGGAACAGCACTACAACGAGCCAGTAAATGGACAGTTTAAGGGTTGTACAAAAGAAGTGCTACCTGGAGTGGAGGCGGAAAGAAGTAGTGTTGAAGAGGACCAGAACATTGCCACAGAATAGTTCAAAATGATTGTTATAAACGTGTGTAATGGTAATAAAGTCGCTTTTTTAATTATTGACGTATTTTGAGTCACTTAATTTTCGCGTCATGTTAATTTCGCAACATTTAATTTTTGCGTCACTTAAATTTCGCGATTTTTTTTAAATCGCGAAATTCGCGAAATTAACGTGTCGCGAAAATTTCGTGTAATAAGGTATATTGAATGGAACTGATTATTTTGATTATCGCTTTTCATTGATTGAGCATGCCGAGACTGAGTTAACAGCACTTCCATAGTAGCATGCCATTTTGCCACATGCAGTCTGCGTCTATCAGAAACACTGCATGTAAATAAAGTTTTACATTGATTTTGATTTGCTATTTGATTCCATTAGTGCCGACTGCATTTGGTCGGGTGTACCCGATCCCTATTTTCCTAATAAGACGTTTTAGGGTTGCAGACACTGTACGTGTCCAGTTTTGGTGCATGTAGGTTACATTGTTTATCTATTTTGCTGTTTAACAAATTGACGTCAGTTTTTCATGCGTCTGTCCTGTTAGTGATCATGAATTTCGTCATAACATTGTAATTGTAGATCCACGAGCCGATAGCCGAGTGGCTCCACAAACTATTTTGACAGTGTTAAGACGAAATTCATTGTCAATAACAGGACAGACGCATGAAAAATGACGTTAATTTGTCTTTCACAATGACAAATTGTCAAATTGGCTGCTCTTGCTCGTTGCCTTAACATTGCATAAATTATAAATTCATGTGTCTACCCCCTTATTGTTAATGAAAATTAGCCAATGGGCGTGCGAGAATCTTTGCAGTTATTGAAAAAATCTTATTGATGTGTCAATTAAAACATATCTCGGCTAGTCTGACCAAATGCACCCATGTCTCATAACCTTCGATTGTGTTCAGCTGTATACTTATAGTGAAGGTAAAATACTTGTACATAATTGCTTGTGCTCGCGTATGCACGACAAAGTCGTGCAACATGGCGTTTGTAGCCCAACTAATAGGTTGACAGACACATGCAGCCTTGGTCAACAGCATACATCTTTGATATTGGACATCCATGTTAAGGTCAGACCATATTACAGGCTCAAGTCTAGAGCTAATAGTGGTCAGGTATTTTTTTAAGTCGACCGCTGCTCAGGTACTGGCTTTCCATTGTATTGCAGGCTCAAGCAAAGTTAACTTATTGTAATCAGGAGCTCCACTTTTAGGCTTAGCTAAATCTATATATTATTCCAATTTCCCTCTAGTCATTTGACATTGCCATATCAACCGCATTTTGATATGCTGGTTAAGCCAAAATTCGTCGTTTTGACAGAATTATTTGCACCTTTTTTACATCTTATTGTAGTTTTGGATTAACTTCCCTACAGTCTACGTTATTTTCTGACTTTCAGAGAAACTGGTGATAGCCAGGAAAGAGGATGTTATCACGTGTTACTAAGTGTGACCACAGAAAACATCTCATCTGGTGTAGAGGGAGATGAGAGATATCTCTAACTGACGTAGAATATATTTTTGTGTTATTAGAACGAACACCCGAGGAGGGGAGTTCACCCATTTATCACGGCCACTTTCACCACTATTGCGTCGTTGTTTATGGCGTGAGATCTTTCATTCGTTTCATAAATTAAGGACGTGCTGTA